GAGTTGACCAAGTGTTGACTGGCGTTGACCGGAGTTGAGCGGGGGTTGACCGCAGTGTTGACCGGCGTTGACCAAGCCGTTGACCACGAGTTTGACCAAGCTGGAGCCGGTATAATCTCGCCAAGCCTTCAACCTATCCCTCGCCCTATGGATGTGCACACACCCTGTGGTACTTGCTGAGTCCACTTTCTTTCTGCATCGACTCTCTTCTGTCCAGGTGATAGTACTCTATGGATGAAGGATAGGCTTTGTTGACCAAACCCCTGCCGGACCAAGTAGGGCTAAAGACTGTGTCTGACGACTCGACTGTCCCGGAGGCCTAACCCTCCCAAGGACCGGTACAGTCCGACGGGTTGCTCGGCAATCCCTGAGTAGGGGAGATGCTGCCGAAATTTCTGGCTAGAAGAAACTTGGCAATCCACCCTGAGTAGGGGAGATGCTGCCAACATTCTCCGTGACTTAGTGTCAATAAGGGAGGCTGAAAGAGAGGTTAGTAGAGGAGTTAGGCTATGAGTTGGAGCACGTTCTCCACTTGGCTTGAACATAGTAGTGGCTCTCCTTGACCTGTACTGTGATGCAGGTTTTCACATCCGGTTGAAGGCTCGAATTGTTCGGCCTGATTCTACGAAAGGATCACTTGTCTGTTATTACTGATAACAGGTCGGTTGCCGATTCGTCGGTTTACGACTCAACTTTCCAATTTCTCCTGCCTCTCAACCTAAGGCCTTGGCCCCTGCCAGGATTTATGTGTTTCTTTGGGTTCTCACCCAGTTTCTTTATAAATGGCCATTATGTAAAGACTGAGTACTTTTGTTGAGAATGGGTGGGGAAATGGTTGRACTTGTGGGCATGGGGCAGGGTGTGAGCCACAGAAGGCTGAAAGGTTGACCCTTTTAGTGTGTGGGATGTTGTTTGAATGTCGGATGAATGCAGGTATGTAAGGGAGGAACTCGATTAAATATGTGGTGAATGATTATGTCACCACACAACTGTCGTGAGAGTGAACTACCCCACAACCCTTTTGTCTGAGTGAGATTGTTTTGTTCCCAGCTTGATAATTTGATAGTCAGAGTAAGCGTACGCTCGGGTAATCCTTATAGGACTATGCGACTGCACGCTTACGCTTCCCCTTACTCAAAGGTTTTAGTTCAAGGTCCTTGTCCAGGACGTTGCATTACTTGCTGCCCCAGGTAAACAGAAGCGCCGCAAGGAGGAGGGGTTGTCCCCCAGCCACTCGGTCAGGCGGGGCGTTCGTATTTTCCTCTGCCAACGCCAAGTAATCCTTTTTCTTCTTTTTCGTTTAAATTGTTTTGGTGGAACGATAAAGTTCCGGGCGGAAGGATTAGCGTGTCGCTGGTGGTGCGCCAAACAACTCACCACCGCTCCGAATTCCTTCCTGCCCTAGAGGCCATCTTACCCCGCACCCTTTGGGGCACCTCAGGGTGCAGAAGATGGTAAGGCCCTCAAGCCGGTTTTGCGCTTGCTAAAAGGTTTACCCCCCTTAGCGCGCACTTCAGCCGACGACTGAGCGGCGAGAACGACCCCATGGCTCAAAAGAGGCCACTCGGGTATGGGCGTCACATACTGCAACGACATCACGATTGCTTACACAAATCCGTATCGTTGGCCGATATGCGTAGGTTCTGCGTCCGCATGGATTTATGTTAACCCATGCGCGCGGCACTTACCAATTTCTGTGCTCGAAAGTTACGGGACGAGCGAAGAGGGCAAAAGCGCGTCACGACCAGTAAAGCCAAGTTTCGACAGCGCGAAACGATGCAGGAGCAAGGGAATAAACCTAGTCGGCTTAAGGGGACCCGTGTACGAGCCTCCAAAAGTCTCAAACATCGGGATGCCCGTGGGTGTGAGTCTGGGCATCATCCGCACGCATCTTTCGTGTTGGCCTACTCCTCCCTTTGGGAATGACTATCATACTACCCGCAGTTGTTTCCCCCTTTTAAGTTATCATGGTTGGACGTTGTAGTCTGTGGTAGCCGTCGAAGTCAAACCCCTTGATTTCGACTACCACGACAGGCTTGAAGCTGTTTACTCAACCCCTCTGCACAGGGTGCAGAAGAGGGTGTGGTCTTCAACCGCACATGGCGGTTGTCTAGCGTCGAGAGATTACCCCTTAAAGCACCTGTCAGCCGACACTTGAGCATCGAACACGACCCTCGAGATTATCAAGGGCTGCGAGGCTACGAGTACAACATAGTACCCCATCAGCGCAAATGTTTGCGAATGTCCGCATGGATGGACGATATGAGGAGGCCATGCGCTCGCAGGACACTTATACGAAAGTCTAGCGCGGGGTCCCTACCTGATTCTCGCGGCATGAAGTTATGGGTTGGATACTGAAGGGACTAGGAGTGTTGTGATGTTGTGTTTGTTTCGTGGGTTTTTTTTTTTTTTTTTTTTTTTTTTTTTTTTTTATGTGTGAGTAGATGTGAGTGTTGTGGTGTAACGCGTGGTGTGTGTGATGCGTTCTAGTCGACCGACGCCGAGTCGCGTTTGGGACCTCAGCCCCTCAGTACGTCGATTCGCGTGCGGTATGGCTGGCGCACTCGGCCGGAGCGGCTAAAACGCTCTGCGACAAAGTCCTGTAAAATCCTGCGTGACGCCCCGTGCGGGACCGATGCGCTCGACAGGTGGCTTCGTTGCCAGGGGTCTCGGCTGCCTACCGGGGTCCTTAAGAGAATGAACCCAGGTTAAGTGCAGGCTGATGACCTAGGCCGAACGACAAAGGCTTATGGTTTGGGTTGTCTTACATAAGAGGATTGTGTATAATAAGACTAGGTGATTAGAAGTATGGCCTAAGGTTGTATCTAAGGTTCTGAATGACTAATAATAGAATGGTTGGCTGAACCTAGGGGTGAAACGGCTAGATAGGACTTGGGATAAATCCCCTGGAACTTGACGAAAGCTATCTAATGGGCCATCTTTTTTTCCTAACAGGTTGTTTAGCAAAAGGGATAAAGATGTCGGACGCCGATGGAATCGAGCGAGGCCTGGCAGCTACTCCGACAGACTTTGTCAAGGCCCTTGAGAAAAGGGAATTGGCGCGACTTCAGGTACCGAAAGTCGACATCTTCCTGTTTGAAGGGGAGAGGGTGTCAAAATGGTTGGAGTTGCTAGAACAAGTTACAACCGAGGTGCCTGAGGCAGAAAAGTTCAAGTTTCTACCTTGATATATTTGGTGGGAAATCCGGCCCGAGATTATGAAGGTGGCTGCGGGAGCAAGAGGAGATTGGGCCAAATGCAAAGGCGGTTCAAGTTAGGGGATGGCTTGTTAACCAAGATGGACCTAGAGATGTTGCAGCGGGATGAGTTTTCCACGGTGGGGGCTTTCGCGACGGCGTTTGAAAAGATGGCAAGAAAAGTCCCAGGGTTGGTTGAAGAAGAGCAGTGTGCAACCTTCCTGGGGCACTTCAGGAATTGGGAGGCTTCTGCACTGACTAAGAAGGCTGCGCCAGGGAAGAAGTTGACCTGGGCCGCCATAAAAGAAGGCGTGCTAGAAGGGGAATTGGACCACGTGGACATCTTCCAAATGCCACAGGCTAGGAAGAAGAGGAAGGCTTTGGATGCCTCGACAAGTGACGGGAGAGATTTTAAGAGAATGGTAGAGGATGCTGTTGCCCAACTCGATGTAGAAAAGGAGGCAAGGGCAGCAAGAAAGGCTATGGCGGCACCGCAGACTCAGGGAAAGGCAAAGAAGGCGGTGGAGCAAGAGGAGGAAGAAGAGGAAGAGGAGGAGCTTGAGCCTCAAAAGCTAACAAAAGCACAGAGGAAGGCCAAAAATCTGGCCTAAGGCGGACAAGGCTCAGGAAGAGGACAGAGCCCGCAAACAACAGCACTGCCTCCCCCGGAGTATGGTCAAGCCGCGCCAGCACCCTATGGGCCGTGGCCGGGTTATGGACCTCCAAATCTTTGGCCTGGGCACTGTTCATACGTACCATGGCCGATGAGTGGACCACATGGATCATGCGTGGGAGCGCCGCTGAGCGCGGCTTACTGCGGGTGTTCAGGACCCCAGACTCAACAAGTAAGCCACCCGAGCCCCTAGCCAAACCAACCTCAACAGCCGGCACCACAGGGGTTGCAGGGAAATCAAGGCGGTGAACGTCGACAGAACCAAGGATGGGGCCGAGGGCGAGGAAATGGCGGTCGCGGGGGAAACGGAAGAGGAAATGGGGGTGGCAATTCCAGTGGAAGAGGAAATGGGGATTGGAATGCGTCAGGGAGTCAGAGTAGTCAGGACGGCGGGCGAGGTTTTGGTAGAGGACGGATAGACGGGAGGAATGCCATTTGCTGCCATTGTGGGCAGAAGGGTCACACCATTAAGTTCAGCCATGTCCGAAGGAACGATGAAGATGAAGGGCTGATTAGTACCAACTACGACGGTGACATGTATGATAAGTTTGGATACTACATTGACCCAGAGATCCCTGGTGAGTCAAGAAAGGAGGCCTTGAGACGAGTCGAGGCCGGCGAGCCGCCCGCTCCTCCGGCCATGTTTCGAATCTGGCAAGAGGAGGTGGACCATCCTGATGTAAGGGTTGAAGAGATAGGAGAGAATAAGGAAGTAGAGCAGGAAAGGAAAACCGGTACGGTCAAGGAAGAACCAATTGTGGTAGAATCTGACGAGGAGATAGAAAGGGGGTACTGGAATGACGCCCGGAGAACGATGGAAAGAATAGAGGATGTAGTCGCGAAGATAGGAACGTATCAAGACAAATTGACCAACATGTGTGAAGAGGTCAAGGAGTGGAAAGGTAAGATGCCACTGCTATATCTCTATGATATGGGTCCAGGACTGCAAGGGGAATCTGGGAGTTTTACCAGGCATAACGGTTTCGGGACCGACACCTCGGTCCGGAATGGTTTACAGGCCACCATCGAGGTCAGGAGGAGCGCCACAGGCCGTCAGGACAAGGGCCAAGGGGCCAGTAAGCCCCAATGAGCCAGCAAAGGACGTTCGTGAGCCTAGTGGGGAAAAACAAACAGTAGACATCCCAGAGGACGAGGATGAGAGAGATCAGAGGTTAAGGAGAGAAGAGGATAAGGGGGCCGAGCTAAGAGCAAAAAATAGGGATGTTAAGGCAGACACGGACAGAGTTCGAGAGGGGAAGAAAAGGAAGTATGTTGTCCGGGTGGAAGAAGGCTATGATGTAGAGGGGGTTAATCATCTTATGAATCTGAAGGATGTGTTGGCTTCAGCTTTAAGGCTCCGGGACGAGCTCAAAGCTCGATTATCCAGGAAGATGGTAGCCAGCGTGCGATTGGGGGCCATAATCCCCAAGGAAGCGGAATGGGCAGAGACAGACACGAAGATGGATTGGAAGTCCGTCGCATGTGGATGCTTGGATGTAGTAGTAAAAGGAAAAACGTGCACGGCAATGGTGGATACTGGGGCGGAAATGAACCTCATGAAAGAGAAATATGCCTTGTGCTCGAGGATGGAGATTGACTGCTCCGATAATGGAGTTATTATGGGCGCGAATAGTCGGTCTGTGTTCATAGGGACCGCATCGAGAGTGGTTTTGGAGATTGACAAAGTTAAAGTAAGAAGTTGTTTCTTTGTGATGCCCGATCTCGATAATCCCATCCTATTGGGTCGATCTTTTTTAAGCCGAACGGAGACCGTCATACTGAATAAGCATGATGGGATGATGTTCCTCGTCTTATGTGACCCGGTATGTGGCAACTATGAGGTTATCACATGCAGAAATACGGGGCCACGAAGTATAAGGAATAGGCCCAATCCTGGCTCTTTCACGATTGAGGAGTCGGAAGAAGAAAGGAAGAGGTTAGGGGGAGACGAGTTTGAAGAAGAAAGGAACCCGGAAGCACTGACTTTTAGCCTGGCCAGTATAGGCGATGCTATGGACATAGTGTCAGCCTATGGGATGGCAGACCCGGAGGCCGTAGAGGCCTTGAGAGAAAAGGTGATGGAACAAATGGGTGAAGGAGAGGTGGAGTTGGTATATCGGACGCCCAGAAAGAGAGGAGGATCGGCAGAGCCCAACCCCTGAGTGCAACACGGCCTTTTTTAGGGGTGGGCTCAAGCAAGGGTCATAAAGGCGGTACAAAAGATTAGATAAAAAATGTCGCCCTGTTCCTGTGCTCGTGACTGAGGAACAAGAAGTTTATTACGAGCGGGAACGAGAGTTAATACAGCAGATGCGGGAAAATGCGGAGAATGGACCATGTCATATCAATCAAGAAACGGAAGAGGCACTGATAATAGGGGAACCAGATTTCCTTACAGCGCATGAGAGACAGTTGATGGTAGAAACCATGAGAGGAAGGCATACTGCCTATGCCTTCAATGATGACGAACGCGGCCGCCTGGATGTCGACAAGATTCCGATGATTCAGATACATACCGTGCCACATGAACCATGGAATCTACGAGGTGCGCGATATCCGAACCCGGCTGATGAAGAAAAGGTGGTAAATTATCTTGACGGGAAGATCCGCACTCATGTCTCAGACTACTCGAGTGGGCCATATGCATCCCTTTGGTTTTGCTTTGTCAAGCCAAATGGGATGCTGAGATGGGTACAGGATTTGCAGCGCTTGAATGCTGTAACAGCGAGAGATGCAGGGGGTCTCCCTAACGCTGATGCGCTTTCAGAGGCATGTGCAGGAAGATCCATAATATCTCTCATAGACTTGTATTTTGGTTATGTTCAATTTCCTGTTTACCCTTCAGACAGACCAATGACTGCAATGCATACCCCTCGAGGGCTGATTCACATGAATGTCGCACTGCAAGGATGGACGAATGCGGTTGCCATGGTCCAGAGACACATGGTAAGGACAATGCAACCAGTGAGTCCTCACATTACACAACCTTACATCGATGATCTGGTTGTGAAAGGGCCAAAAGAGAAGGATGAGCAGGAGGTGATGCCTGGAATTAGACGTTTTGTCTGGGATCATGTGCAAGATCTATGTAAAGTCCTAGACTTGCTAAAGGAGCATAACCTCACTGCAAGCGGAACAAAGTCTAGGCATTGTATGCGTGGAGCAACGATCTTAGGGTTTGTGTGCGATGAGAGGGGTCGTCGGCCAGACACTAAGAAAACGAACAAGATTCTCGAATGGCCAACACCATTCGAGACAATTACAGAGGTAAGGAGCTTCCTGGGAACATGTGGGTTTTGGAGAGTGTTCATCAAAGGGTTTGCGGCAAAGACGGAGCAATTGCGAAAGCTTGTGCGCCAAGGTCAAGATTGGGAATGGGGAGACAAGCAGGAGTCAGTGATATAGGGTCTGAAGAAAGAGTTTGAGGAAGGGGGTCTAGTACTGGGGGTACCAGACCATGCGGCTGTGATGACCAGACCTTTTATCGTGGAAACAGACGCAGGGCCGACTGCCCTGGGAGAAGTACTTATCCAACGAGACCTTAATGGAGAAGAACGACCGCTAAGGTTTGAGAGTCGAATGCTTAACACAACTGAGAGGAATTACTCTCAGTTTAAGCGCGAGACCTTGGCAGTTCTTCACTGCTTGAGGATTTTCAGAAACTACCTCTTTGGTAGCAAGTTTATGTTGAGGATGGACCCAACTGCTCTAGCTGGTTCCCTTAAGAACTTCGCTCCTTCAGATCCAACCATTGCCAGGTGGTTGGGGTACATCTGGATGTTTGACTTCGAATTGGAGCGTATTCCTGGGAACAAGAATAGGGCAGATGGGTTGAGTCGCGTCGACTGGGACAAGAGCAACAAAGGGGTAATTGAAGATACTCCGCCGGTCGACGGTTTTCTGGACAAGGAAGAGGACGTTAAACTCCACATTAACTCCTGGTCATTGGCTATAGGTAACTATGTTACTCCTGGACGACCTATATGGCTCGCACCTCCAGGTCATGTGCGGCGGCCGGATATAGTCCTCAAACCTTGTGTTGAGGAAGATTCTTGGGGAATGCCGGGAGTGGAGTGGATGATGGAGTTGGCCTTGGCAGATAAGTACCAGCTGCAGGAAGACGTGGTCACATTGGAGACCGTACCCCAGCAGGTAGAAAAGCATGAACGATTGGTAGGTGGAATGTACCTGTTGGCAAACTCGTTGCTTCAAGAAGAGGTTGCTAGGATTGAAGGAGAGAGGCAAGATAGAGAGGGGAATGTGATCCATGAAGGAGAGGACGATGACTTTGAAGAAGGTGAGATAAAAGAGGCCTTTTGTGTAGAGGAGTACGACGGAGTATATCTGGAGTTGGGAATGCTCCTTTCGTGTGAGACAAGAGAAAGAGATGCTAGCGAAAGGGTCCTTAGGATGCGGCCAAATTTCCTAGTGAGAGACGGCCATCTATTCATGAAAAGTAAAGGAAAGAATCCCAGAAGGGTAGTCTGTGGAATAAATCGACAGATTGACGTTATGGCCGCCCTTCATGATGGAACGACTGGTGGTCATAGGAGCACAGATGCAACATACTTAAGGATTCACGAACTTTACTATTGGGATGGCATGGGACACATGATCGACAGATATTGTAAATCTTGTGTACCATGTCAGGAGCGGTCTTCGCTAAGACCTAGGGAGCCACTTCACCCTAGATATATACGTGAGGTTGGAGCAGTCGTTCATCTGGATCTATTAGCAATGCCTTTGGGAATAGGAGGGTTCAACTATATCTTTGATGCACGAGACAATCTCTAAGGGTTTATTGATGGCAAGGCTATTCGCACGAAGACTGGAGAGGTACTAGCTCGATGCATTGAAGAATACTACCTTCGCTATCCTTTCGTTTCAAGATTCGTAATGGACAGGGGGTCCGAGTTCACTTGTGCTGAAGTGAAAGCGTTGCTGAAAGGGTATGGTATGATCGCCGAATATACAACTGCGGCGCACCCTCAGGCTAACGCACCAGTAGAAAGAGGACACAGTACCATTACAAATCTCCTTGCAAGATGGACAGATGGCAGGCCTAATCAATGGCCGACTTTTCTGAGGGTTGCCATCTTCGTGGAGAATATCACTGTCAGAAGGAGTACCAACTACGCGCCAGCTACATTATGGTATGGCAGACATGCGACGTTCCCTATAGAAAGTTTCTTGGAGCCATAGAGGATAAGGTACAGGAAGCGGCAAGTAGGGTGGCTGACAGTCGAACCAAGGACAAGTTCAGGTGGGACCAGTTGGCCCGAGTAAGGAAGGAGCCTCTTAAGGTGGGAGACGCCGTGCTGCTGTACGACTCGTCCTTGGAGAAGCAGTGGTCGAGGAAATTGGACAAGCGGTGGTTAGGACCGTACATGATCACAAGGTGTGGCGAGCATGGAGCATACCAAATCGAGGAAATGAATGGGACGACATGAAAGGATTGGGTGTCAGGCTCGAGGTTAAGAAAGTTTGTCGCTCGGGATGAGGTGAGCATGGATCTCACGAGATAGTGTCGCCTCCTTTGAGTGTATTTGGGGTAATTAGTGTAAATAGGTTGTGTAGGATGTTAGTATCATTAGAATGGTATGATAGGGTACCATATTTAGGTAAATTTATATATATATGACGATATATATATATATATATATGTACAGGTAGGTATTATAGAGAGGTATTATAGAATGGGAGGGTAATGCTTGTTTCATGTTGTGTTTTTTTTCTCTTCCTTGTTGTGCAGGCTTGACACCATTTGGGGCAGCCATGCCAAGAGGGAGGGGAAGGGCAGGGCCAGTGGGAACCCCTCTGGGGGCGACCAGACAGACGGTGCAGATGAGGGCCAGGAGAGAGGACAGGCCACCCATTTTTCAGGGAGGAAACACTGAGCTATTCCTGATCGAGTTCGAGAGGCACGCCAGGGAGTTTGGATGGGATACGCTCAGGATGCTGAGAGAGGTGCGAGGCGCGGGCCAGTGGGCAGAGCCCATTGCCAACTATGTCAGGGAATCACTGACCTGGCAGGACTTCGAGAGGAGGATGGAGGGCTTGCACCTATCACCATTGGGGAGGGATGGGCAGCCTATACGCTTCGATGGCACCAACCTTGGGGATTTCTTGAGGGCATTCGACGAGTTTGCAGATGGCCTCAATGAATCACCAAGTCAGAGAATGGGAGGCTTTCTCCTGTTTGTGAGGCGGCACCTTAGGTCCTTCGTCAGATCTATTGTGGAGCATGCCACGAGTTGGGGCCATTGTAAGAAATTACTTTGGAACTACTATACTCCGGCACGCCTGGCAGAGGAGAGGAGGAGTATGGAGAAGAAGAGGAAGGAGCCAGAGGTCACAGAGAGGAGGACTTTTGAGCAGGGCATGACCTCAGGCACTCAGAGGGATGGACAGAGAAGAGAGCACAAGTCCCACAGGCAAGAAAGAGGAGAAGAGCAGCATGCTGAGAGAGTTCAGAGGAGAGAGGAACAACATGCTGACTGGACACAGCAGACAGAGAGGCAGACTGCAGAGAGGATTCGGGGAGGAGGGGCACCAGGTGGACCAGATGCACCTCCTCAGCCTGCTCAGGACTGCCCTATGTCAAGCGTGGAGCCAGAGCTGCCTCATGAGCCACAAGGACTGGAGCAGAGTAAGGATCAGGCAGCAAAGGAGAAGGAACATGATAGGGAGGAGAGAGCAGGAACAAAGAGAGAGATTAGAGTCCAAATCAGACTCAAGAACCTTGCGGAGCTGCATGAGAGGGTTGAGCAGGAAGATCAGCCTGTGGTACTAGAAGACAGAAAGGGGAATGGCTCATGCGCTCGGGACGATGAGACCCCTCTTTTCACAGAGGCTTGGGACAACTTTGACAAGCTGTTAGAGGCAGCAGGGAGGTCCAGGGAGCAGCATCAGGAGGTGGGGCTTAAGCTGGTCTCTACAGACTTGCTTAACCTGAAGGGCCTTATGAAGGAAGGTTTTGCGGCAGCCAAGGCTTCTGATGAAAAGATGGAGAAGAGGTTGACAAGGGTGGCGCGGGCGTCTCATAAGCAGAGATTGGACTGGCAAAAAGAAATTGACGATCTGAAGAAGGAAGGGGAAAGGCAGGACAAGGAAATGGAAGCCATGAAGGCTGTGATGGAAAAGGCCTGGGTAGGAAACGAGGCAGTCAGGCAAGTCAACCAGACCTCAATAAGGTCAATGACACCCTGAGGGCCTACCTACAAGCACAACAGGTTTCCTTCCAAGCGAAGGAAGTGGAATGGGAGAAGAGGATCATGGAGCAAGAGGTAAGGTGTGCACAGCAGGCGCCCACTACAGTAGTGGACTGGACAGAGGTTCAGGGGTTTGGGATCAGAAGTCAGCCTGCAAAAGAGGCCTTCAACTGCCAGAAGGTGGAAGAGAGGGCAGATCAGCGAAAGGGTGAGGAAATCCCCTTGCTAGACAAGGAGATGTTGCAGCCTGGGGAGATACCCACAAGGAAGGAGGCGGAGGTCGATGAAATTGAATGGCAAATGCCCTCTATTTTGGTACTTGAGCAGGTACAGAGGAAGGAGGATACGACGCAGCAGGCAGAGACCGCGTGAGATGAAGGTGCTCCGGTGATCACTCAGGGAGAAGTTACAAGAATGCAGGAAGCTCAGGAGATTGTAAGGCAAGTCATGGCTGAGGGAGAAAATCGGGAGGAGTGTCTGGAGTCGACCACACCTCAGGGTATGCCTCTTGTTACAGGATTGGAGGAGGCATTGGGATCTTGGGCTATTGGTTCTGGGCCAGAGGCACGAGGAGATGAACATTTGACGCAGACAGACGACAAAGCGGCCTGTCCTACTCCTTCAGGGGCTCCTCAATGCCCTCGCTGAGCGAAGGCAAGATGTCCCAAAGGAAGCCTGGCAAGTGCTTCTACTGCAAGAGGGGCAAGCATAGGTCTGAGGACTTGGTTACCAGGGAGGCATCTGGGAGGTGGAGAGATAGGGATGGGAACCTAGTTCCTAAGACTCATGATGGGGTGAGGGCGCAGGTGTATAGGCAGTTGCAGATGGTTATGAGTGATCAGGAGTAGGGTTCATTAATAGGGTCCGGAAAAATCTATAGCTAGCATGTATAAGACATCTCTGACTTAGTAACTGATGGATGATTGTATATAGGACACATGGAGGATTGGATCATGCCCGTGTACATCAGTAACTAGAGCTGACATTGAGATGTTTCCTTTCACATTATAGACTTTCCGGATTAATGGTACATAAGGTGACATTGAGTGCGACTTTGATTACTTCGCTTTTTCTTTAGTATGGTGTGGAGTGTTCTTAGATAGCGCTTTGGTGTGAGTTTTTGATTCTTTCTCGTTCAGAGCGGTGTAAGATCCTGATTTCCTTTTTTTATCTTGACTTTTGCTTTGACACTTTGTTTGGATACTCTGATTTTTTTGGATTCTGTGACACTTGGTACTCGGATTCTTTGTACGATACCTTGACCGTTTTCGATATGGACGGGAGCCGTTTGCAAGGCCCCATATTCTGTGCGCATATGCGAGTCCCAGACTTCCTTCTTTTTGTGTGGTGTGTCACACTCACTCTCAGTTTGTGGATTTGCTCATATGAATGATTGTTGTGATGAAAATAAATTTTGTAAAATGACCTGACTTGCACTATCTTCCTCTATACTTAGGCATACCTGTTATAATGACGGGCGAAGTCATAAGTACAGGGAAAGAGAGTGCACCTCACGTTTGTTTAAGAGAAAAGACTTGTGTCATAATTTGTAAGGGCATGAGTGATGATAGATGGAAAGGTCGCAACTAAAGTTGTGTTTTGTGTGTGGTTCAAAAGCGAGAGAAGGAAACTCAATGGCCGATCGGGTTTTTCCTTATATAAACAAGTGGAACCCGCCACGGCGTAGCCGTGGCGCACAACAACGCTCGCTGATATCCCGTGGCTCTCTCTTTCTCTCTCTCCCTCTCTCTCTCTCTCCCTCTCTCTCTCTCTCTCTCTCTCTCTCTCTCTCTCTCTCTGTGTGTGGTCGG